GTTGCTTTTATACAAATCCAAGATATAATTTCTAGGCTATACGAATTCATTTTCGCAATATCACTCAAATTCTATTGATCTAATATTCGTTCGCTCGCTTGTTCATTTGTTCGCTTGTTCGCTCGCTTGTTCGCTCGCTTCACGTGATATAATCTTTATCCAATAAGATATAAGATATTTATAATCCAATAAAATATTATGACGAAAGGTCATTATACAACAATATATTATTTTATCTTTTATTTTATTTTTATAATTATTTTATCTTTTATTTTACTTTTATTATTATTTTATCTAATTATTTTATTTTTATTTTATTATTATTATTATTATATTCATTATTTTATTTTTATTATTATATTTTATTTTTTATCTTTTATCTTTTATTTTATCTTTTTGATTAATTATTTTATCTTTAGATAATTATTATATTTGAAATTATATTTTCAAAAAATATATAAATAGAGATGCTATTTTAGTCTTAATTTGATACATTGCAAATGAAAAATAAAATTTTCTCTTAATAAAAATCTTCTTTCAAATAATATTTATTTTTTTTTACTTTCAATTATATTTATTAAAGCTTGTATACAAATAGCTTTGAATTGTATTGTGCTAAACAAAATATTGATAACTTTATATTATATTATATCAAACAAATTGCTATTATTGACTTTGAATTTTAGATAATATTGTATTAAACAAATTATTATTATTGAATTATTAGCTTTATATTATATTGTGCTGAACAAATTATTATTATTAAAATTATTAATTTTGAATATTAAGTATTTTAATTTTTGTTATTTTGATATTTTAATATTTCTTATTCATAAAAAAAAAGTGAAAAAGTCTTTGTTATTATTATATTGTTTTAGCTCTGAAAACTTTTATATAAGTACAGAAAATTAATCTTTTAAACTCTTTTTATTATTTATTTTCTTTATTATTTTATACTTTAACTTTTTTCTTTTGACTTTTACTCTTTTATAACTCTCTTATATTATTATTATATATTTGAATTATCATAATTTCTATAAAAATTAGTATAATATTTAGATATCCCTCTTTTCTCTTAATATTTTATTTATTATTTAATATTCTCTTTTAATTCAATTTCAAGTTTGTAAGCTAATTTAATAATTAGTAAATAAGTTTGTAATATTATATTTAATTTATAATTTATAAATAATTATTATAACTAATACTAAAATTAATCAATAAAATTAAATAATAAAAATTAATTAGTTAATAAATTATATTAATTTTAGTATTAATCAAAGTTTATCATTAATTAATTTTTTTATTATATATTTATATTTAACAATTTTAATAATTTAAATTTATTTAATTTAATTATATATTATTTAATATTTAATTAATTACACACTTCTATATTATATTACTGAAAATTGAAAAAAAAATATAGTAAAACATAGTAAAATTGACATTATTTCTTTATATTAAAATTTATTATTTTATTAATAAATATTTTTTATTTTTATACTAAAATAAAAACAATAATCTATATTTTTGATATATATTCTTTTAGAATATTTTGTTCACTTATAAACATCAAAAAAAAATTTTTATAATTAAAATTGTAATTTTTTCAATTTTAATTATAAAAATTTTTTTTATATTTACAAGTGAACAGAAAATTCTAAAATATTTTAAAAGAATATATATCAAAAATATAGATTATTGTCTTTATTTTAGTATAAAAATAAAAAATATTTATTAATAAAATAATAAATTTTAATATAAAAAAATAATGTTAATTTTACTATGTTTTACTATGTTTTTTTTCAATTTCTAGTAATATAATATAGGAGTATATATATTTTTATTAAATTATATAAATTTTATATATAATTTAAATATATAACTTATTATTTATAATTTTATTAAAAATAAAATATATAATATTATTAAATCTTAATTTTTAAAAATTAAGTAATTTGATTTTTAAATAAAAATTTTTTAATTTAATAATATTATATATTTTATTCTTAATTATATTACTAATAATTTTAATTTATATAATTTAAATAATTTATATAATTTAAATAATTATAATTTTTCAAATTTATATTATACTTTAATAATTTATTATATTTAATATATTTACTTTATTCAATATATTTCTATTTCTTAAATTATTTTTTTTATAAATTAGTTTTATATTTTGAATAAATAAAAATTAGTAAATAAAATAATATTTAGTAAATAAAATAATATTTATTATATTAAAAACTTAATATAATAAAAAAGTTTACTTATTACATTAAAAATAATTTTATTAGTAAAAATTGAGCTTTTATTTTTTATATTATTTATCTACAATTTTTCTGAATTTCAAATAGTCTAATAAATAATATTTATAATAATAACTATAATTAACAAAACAAATATTTTATAACAAAATAATTTTATATAAATTAAATTTTTGAAAAAACTATTAATTGATTAATATAAAATTTAATTAAATAATAATTATATTTTAATAAATATATATTATAATTTATTATTAATAATAATAGTTTATTTTAAAAATAAAAGATAATATATTATTATATATCAATTTTAAGATTATATAAATTAATAATTTAATAATAATAAATATATATAGTTAAATTATAATTATTATAATAAATAATAATATCAAAAAAAAAACTTTAAATTAAATTATAATAATACTAAAATAAGCTCAAAAATTTTCTTTTAACAAAAATAAGTAAAAATATTAATAATATTTTTTTTATTAATTTAAGAATAGAGTATATTTTTTTAATAATTTATTAGTTAAGTAATTTTTTATAATTAAATATATAGAATTATATAATTTTTTATATTTAATTGTATATAATTAAATGATTTTTATAATTAAATATGAAAATTATATAATTTTTTATAATTAATTATATATAATCAGATAATTCATAAAAAAATATACTTTATTCTTAAACAATTATAACTTTATAGTAAAGATAAAAAAATTAAATAACACTTATAATTTTATAATTAAGATAAAAAATTATAATAAACTAAGAAAACTTCACAATTAAAATAAAAGATTATCAATCAAATAAAGCTAACAATTATTAAAAAAGTAAAAGAAATAACTAAATTTACTTAATTCTAATACTAAGATATATGTTATATTTATGAATAAATTATAAAATTTCAATTTTCAATAAAATATAAATTAAAATAGAAATTTGAACTGAAATTCTAATAGAAATATGAACTGAAATTTGAATAGAAATTTGAATCAAATTCAAATAGAATTCAAACTGGAATTCTAAAAATAGTTTAATTAATTATAAATATAATAATTCAATAAGAATATAGAGAATAATATAAAAAATATTGATTCATAACAATATAACTTTTGCATAATTCACTTCTTCTTTTTTCTTATTATTTTTAAATTTTTCTTCTTTAATTCAACAAACTAATAATATTTCTTTTCTAGATGAAATTAATTATCAATCTGATGCTTTATTAATTGAAGAAAGTAATGAAGAACTTGAAAACCAATTTGGCTAAAAAAAGAGCACAGTTAAAGAAACAATGCAAATTCTACAAAAAAAAATCCAAAAAAGAGCATGACAATGACTTGAAAGACAATTACAATTTATGCTTTGATGCTAGATAAATAATTATTAACGGTGCGGTGTTCTTTCGCAAATAGAGAATCATTTCACGAAGTTCATTGTCCTACAGCAAAAGTCAAAGTACTGGCATCTTGAGTTTTATTTTGACGAATGATTTCTTGATATGCCATAGGTTAATTTAAGCATCGGACATCTATATAATCACACAGTTTAAAGCATATATTTTGGTATCTTGACTTTTGGTAAAAACTCTTGTACTTTAAAAGGTTTATGCCATAAATTAAAGGTGCATTTCTCTACACAAAAAAGTTGGGTCTCATGAAATTTGCAACCTCCAATAAACCATATTGGTTTAATTACCACTACCAAATAGGAACTAAATTTATGGATACGTAGTAACGGTATATGGAACAAACAATGAAAGAAAACAACACTTATCCATAAACAAAAAATAATAATATCGATATTTACAAACTACCAATAATATCGATATTGATAATAAAAAGGATTTAGACAGTTTCAGATTCATTGTATAAACTCTAAATTTAGAATTTTTTATAGATCCGAGGGCGTAATTACTTTTCAAAAGACACTTATAATTTATTTTTTGTCTCCATTTGGATAAAACGAGAAAATTGAAACTTCGCCAAAAGATCTACAGTTACATACATGTACGTAATATCGATATATTATCGTTATACATATGTATACGCTAACATTGTTAGTATATCAATTATATCAATTGAAATTTTGGTATTTTATCTTTTCGGTGTTTTTAATGTGTTTGAATGATGTTTGATGATGATGAATGATTTTGTGATTTAACATGACAATAATGATGTGTAACTTTATAAATGATGATTATGAAGATTGTGTTGTTGGTGATAATAATTTTGTGATTTAAAATGAGAATAATGATGATTATGAAGATTGATGTTGTTGGTGATAATGCTTGTCCAATAAAAGACCTATACAAATAGTTTAAATGAAAAAAAGAAATGCTAATTGTTCCTCACACTATATGCAAATCCTAGTATTTAGTATCCACCAAGGGAGGCAAGATAATCTCCGGGTCCTTTAACCCGAGTACAATCCCTACCCTCTGCGCACTCCATTCGACTCTTTAAGACATCACGTGAGCCAACCATTAAATGATTACGGAATTTCTTCCACAGCGACCCTTTTAGCCCGTCTTTTGCAATTCGACGTGCAAGTCTAAGCCAACTATCTATTGTGAGGTCGGTCATGTGATAATCACCTTTTGTTGTGTATTCGACTTCATATTCGGGTATTTGATCGGGGTTTTCATTCGCTTTGGTGAGATTTACGAAGTATTGTACGAACCCGATCGGCGAGAGAAAAGTGTTTTTGTGTACTGGAGATTCGGGATCATGATTCTTTTCGTCTGAATTTTCGTCTTCTTCTTCTTCTTCGTCGTCGTCATCGTCGTCTTCTGGAGTTTTCCATGGGACACCTTCATCATAATCACCATTTTTACCTTTTGATGCGTTGATTGCATTGAGATTTATTATCTCGGTTGTGTTGTATTGATAAATTCGGAGAGCAGGGAAAAATGTCGGGATTACTGAAGGATTCACATTAATCACTGAGTATTGATAAGCCATTTCTCGAGTTATTAATGGGACTTCTTTATAGTGATCAAGTAGACGATGAACATAACGATTAATATCGTAGACATTTGCTTCTACTTTGCCGTCTTCGTCATTTTCTTCTGTGTGGGTTTCTTCTTCTGAAGATAACGATGATTCAACGGCATTAGATTCTTCTTCGACGATTGTTTCATGATTATCATTCTCTTCGGTATTTGTCGTTTGAGCGAATGGAGATTTTGTTTTGCCACCTTTACTTCTGACGAAATAGAAATGGTCCATATTCGCATGGCCATACAAATGTCCCAATATGGTATCATGATACTTGTTTGCTATTCTCCCATATTTATTCCAGCAAGATTGCGTATATCGCTTTTTAGATGGCGCCACATGTCCAGTCAAATAAGCTTTCATACCTTTCTTCTGCGCTTTATGCAACACTTGATTCAACCAACTCATCTCGACCGTACCCGGTTCATCTGTAGCCCGACATCCTTTCACCGCGGTATTCGACTCGAAAAAATAAAGTGTATTCAACGACACGACAATCAACCTTTTCGGGATAACTTCCGTGACATAGTATCCGCCGAGTCGAAAAGTGCTAAGCTGTGACTTTGGGATGAACGCCGACCAGATATCCATGTATGTGTCAAGAATACTGTTTGGCCCCTGTTCGACTATGTTGCTTGGATAGACGTCATTGTTTCCGAGCGATGGTACGATTGGTATTAGCTTTGGTGCTTTTTTGTTGCGACGTGGATGAAGATGTTTTGTGGCTGAGAATGCTGTTAGGAATTTGTCGGCGATCATCCGATTAAGGTCCATTATTTCTTTTAATTTTCGTGGTTTTTTCTCGTCACTATCGTGTCTATCATTTTTATCAAATACAGTTTAGTGAAAAACCCCATAAAAGGCTAAGATGGACAAGAATATTTAATGGCTTTAATAGGCAACTGCGCATATGAAGAAACGTATTTTCTCTTCTCTCTCGCTGCACGTCAATTAAAACTATCTTGTTCATACATACACCGAAAATTTAAATAATTATTTCTAAATACCTCGAATTATCACCAGTCCATATAATAAAATCAAGCTTATCGGCCCAGTTAGCAGCAAGCCAGTCAAACGTAGCGTCAACCAACTGAATCGGAGTATCGCAAATAGTTGCAGGAGCACCCCATGCACCCGATGTTCCCACCTTCATATGAGCTGGTTTCTTTTGTATACGCACGTTATCCATCTTATGACACGAAGAACGAGCAGTAGCGTTTGTCTTGTAGTTTGGGTCAGGGTGAAGGTCGGTAATGTGTAAAAAGTTTCCATGTAGTTTTGTCGACGCGTTGTTAAGAAAGTTTGATCCTATTAATGTGTTTATCCATATGGTCCACAATATTAGCGCGGGCACAGCAACTAATAACCATGCTGGTAGTTGTCGCATTGTGTGCGTGTGTGTGTGTGTGTGTGTGAGGAGCGAGTAGCCTTTTCCTTGTTGTTTTGTAAGTATAATTATTGATCTTTTTGAATAGTAATATTAAGATTGTACTGAAATTGAACAATACACGTTTTATAGGAGAAAATAATGATGTTGAAAATGATGTATGTATGTGTATTATATATATGTGTGTGATGTGATTTATTGATGAATGGGCGGTTAGAAGAAACGAATGAACGTGTTGTGTGTGTGTTGTGTTATCCCTGACTCTTATATAGTTTACTTATTTTAGTTTATAAAATAAAATAAAATAAAATAAAATAAAATAAAATAAAATAAAGTAAAGTAAATCTCCTAATCTTTCTACTTTGGTCTTGTGTTTCTGAGGGGTTTTGGGGGTTACTTTATCGAAAAGACTGGCCAGATAACAACTACAGGAAGGAATAAAAAGATTTTTGATGCTTTCATTTTTTTTTGACTTTATCTTTAAGGGCGAGCGGCTGTAATCATATTAATATAACAATATAAATAACATAAATAATCATCAATAATAATTATGTTACATGCGGGAATCATTGATGTCAACTACATCACATTGCAGAATCTAATGAATCATTGGCCGTGTGTCAATACATAAAAGGTTAAACTGTCATTCGGTATTTAATTTAAAGCCGATTATATTACCTACCATATTTATTCTATTTGTGCACACGCCAATCAACAGTGAAAAAAAAAATCAACCATATTTACTCGCTTTTTCTTTCACCCACTTTACTTACTCAACATTTATAAAGTTACACACGTGGTATTGGTATTGCTGTGTAATTGTCCACGGCAAAAAAACATGGGAAATTTACATCTGGACTTTTTTTATTTTAAATATTGGTTTTCTGTTTTTGCCGATTCTTGATATTTAGTGATCACTATTAGAACGGCACGGGTATTTTGTGCATGAATGGAAGCAATTAAATGACTTCATAGTTCTATTAATATCTTAATATATATCTTATGATCACAAAGATTAAAACTAACTTCCATGATTTTCATGCAAATGTGGTTGTCAATGAAAAATAGTTACTTAGAATTCTTTCTTCGCTCCTTTCGGATATTTGTTTCTTTCGTTATGTTTAATCACCATGTTCTACCAAAAGACTCTCATCCAATGATTATTGCACGCATTAAGGTCTTCTTCTTTTCTTCGCGATTTAGTTTTGTACCCCTTAAATTCTAAATATTATGAAAAATTTAAAATTTATGTGTGCGTGACCTATCCTGTATCAAGTATATCAAGTGAAAGCAATTACAGTATACACGTACCAAGATTGTCAAAATATTATGTATGACGTGTGTTCGTGCATGTCAATACAAATTTCAGCATTTTTGATGCTTCGGACATCTTTTCCCGATCTCATTTGACAAATCTACGAGCCCAGTTTCAGAATTTGTTTATTTCTTAATACGGTAAGATTAAATGTGTCGAGAAAACATGTGATATTGGTAATTTAATTAAATGATAGATGTCTGAATGAAATGATTTACTATATTAATTTCGTAATCAAACTTTTTTTGGTCCGCCGTTGCTGGTATCTGCCATTATTGAATCAAACTATTTTTTACGTAAAGAAAAATATTTCATCATTCATTAAGATTTCAGTATCGCTATTGCATATCTACATATATATATTCATCCATTCCTATATCCGACCCATCTTTGATGCGCTAAAAATTTAAATGACGGACAAAGAATTGAAATATGCAACTATATTATCATACTCACAGGCTAGATATCATTTACACGACTTGCACAGCTGCATTATCAACAGAAAAAGAAGGGTATGTTTAAATCTTTTGATTAACTATTTTGGGTATATTGACTTTTTAATGATTGATTTTCTATCTAATCACCAGGAAAAAGATTAGGTTTACGCAACTAACGAGGATAATTATTTCGTGACCTTGATAACAAAAGTGCAAAATATTTTTCGCCTGTCAGCCGACAAATATTCTCTAAATCCGTCTAATCATTTCATTGATTCTGCATATTCACGCATCAAGAAAATCGCAAATCGATAGATTTCATATAGAGTTAACGATCAAATAATGAGGATAACTTTTGTCGTTGATTATTCATGTGATTTTAACGGGATGCAATACTGCATGTTGCATATTGCATATTGATGGTCTATTGTATTGGGTCACACACAAAAATAACCGCTAAATTCCTATCGAGAGTAAATGACGTTTGAAAGTAGACCAACAGTAGAAGTGTTAAAGCTTCTGGATCAACACTTGCTTAACCATTTTGCTTTTCCTGCTGCCGAACTAGTCCGAGAACACCCACCTCGTTGGTTTTGCAAAAATAAAAGACTTGTGTATGACTTGTCGTGTCCCTATGGGGCAGACTCATTTCATGGTACCCTGCAATATACACGCTGGAAAGAGTTTAGTCTACCGAAAAAAATTCCTGTTGGTCAAAGTATTGATCTGATTGTAGAATGTGTCGATGATGTGTTTCAATATGGACCACCGGAAATGGAGAACACTGTTTCTTGGCATTTAAACTTTGCTGATGCGTATGTACAATTAATTAATTAATTTGTTGAAATTGAATAAATGAAAGGTTGCTGAATTATGTCATTCTACAAATTTGATAAAAAAAAGAAATTTGTTTGGATATTATGGCGGTCGTCTCTTTGCACAAGACGAAAGTCAATGTCTAGAACATCCTGCGCTTTGTTCTCTTGTTGAATCGTTATCACGTGTTCGAGTCGCCTCGCCAACATTGACCACAATAACCAATTCACAAGGGGTAACACTTGCCACCCCAATATTAATTCGAGGTGTAGAACGTCGAGCACAAGTGAAAACTAATCGTAATGAAGAGGAAGGGCGTCCAGCAGGACTATATGGTAACCAATTTGCTATTGCCAAGCCTGAATCTGTGACTAAAGCTACTACTGTGTTTGATCAACGTCTCGATGCACGAGGGCGACCGTACTATTCTAATATTATCGCGATGGAAGCTCCAAAATATGGCAATGGCAAATATACAATATACACAATACGACGTATCCTGGCTACTGCCTATACGGGATTCTTGGCAGCAAAATTTGAAAGTATGGTCGAGTTAGGCTTACTCTCACGGAATCACGATCCGAAAGCTGATAGTGCAACCACAATCCCCGATGATTCCGACACAAAGTCACCGCCGATAATTGAGATTCACACGGGAAATTGGGGATGCGGTGCCTACGGTGGAAATATCGCCATAATGTCGTTGCTACAGATCACTGCTGCTCGACTTGCAGGCGTCAATAAACTCGTGTATCATGCAGCGGGTAAAGCAAATCAACGACAATTTAACGAAGGCTTAAAAACTTATAATAAACTGGTGTTGGAAAAAGGCAATAATGGTGAAGGTGAATTGGATTTGGATGTGTTTGTTCATGAGGTTGAGAAGCACCACTTTCAGTGGGGTTTTAGTAATGGTACATGATTATTATCAATTACCGTGATCTTTATTAATTTTTTTTTTAGTATTTAGGCTACTTGTTTTTTCATAATACGTATAATATATCAATATTTAGATTTATAGCATTGATCAATTGGACAAACGTGACTTAAAATGCTGTTACATTGTGAAGTACATGTATATGCAAAATAGCATTCACGTGATAGATTCAAATTATACTTAGGGACAGTGCATGATCACGTGTCCTTCAAAAATACACGCGCACGTGATCACGGAAAATTGACGTTTAAAGATTAATTTATCGTCTGGATTAGGGTTAGAGCTGAGGATAAGGTTATATGTGAAATTGCTTTTCCGACATTTTTTATTAGTACTTCAAGCTAGATTTTGACATTTTTTCTTTTATTGTGTCAAAGGCCACGTGATTCAGCACTGTCCGTAGATTTCCCGTTATACTTTAATCATTAAGCATGATTTTTGGTTTCGCTCTCATGTTTAATACTAATAGTTCTAATATATTATTCCGTAAATGATGAACAAAAATGTACACTGATGAATTCAATAGCCAGGGGCTTAAAATTCCGAGAAAACAATACAAACTTTATAAGGCTTAACTCTCACTAAAGCTTTTTTTCTTAGTACAAAAGCAAACTCGATAAACGGCAAAATTCTCTTCTAGCATGTGATTAATATCCAAAGTATAATTCACCTTTTAGGTAACGTCATGCCATGTATTATAACCAAGTTATAATATAGACCACTATTAATATTGTATTGTAAAAATAAAAGCTCTGACTGGTCACTTCTATAATTCAAATTGGCCTTGTGACGCAGTACTTGATGTCCCCGACTATAACTTCCTGATCGGTCAAAAATAAATGCATCTCAATGTAAAACCAAAGGACGATCTTAACAAAAAGACTCAGTGTATATCGATATGAATATCCGGATTTGACGCATCCCGCCCATGCGTCAAAATTCGGCCTAATTATAAAGCGAGCAGGCATTATCAGCACAATGCTAAATCATAATGTTCATAATTCCGGCAACGAGAGTTGAACGTAATTCTCTTCATAGATACACATCAACATCGGCGGATTTTATCGGTTTTGTATAAACATTAATGTAAAGAATAAATTTGTTCATTATTAATAAAGACATAGAGATTTAAATGAAAAAATCGCGAACAGACGCGTCAAATTTCATGTTACAAACAAAAAAACGGTTTATTTTTAGTTTATTCATTATTGTCATGTGCATATACTCACCAGAACAAAGAAACTCTAACAATTTGTAATATAATATTGTACAACGGGCAACAAAGTCTCGTTGTGACCGACCCCCTTATCGTCGTAATTATAAGAACATCAAACCAAAGACGGTTAAATATGTCGTCCAAGTTTACAATAAACTAATTACCTTTACTTCTACTAGATGCACACTTGCTGCAGTCAGCTTTCCCCTTATTGCTTAAATTACTCGTATTCCTCTGCACGCGCTCGTTCGTTCACCTTTTTTTATCTACTGCTGATAATAACGAAGTTACGCCTTATTTTTCAAAAAAAATGTTTGTCAATTTATGACCTGCATACAACAACGTTTCACTCATCTCTGTTTGATCTTTTTAGACGACGCGGCGTTATTTTTATACAACTTTTACTACTGAACACCGAGAGTTTTATATTTCTACCGAACAGCCAGTCAATTAGTTAGCCTCTTCCTTTTTATTCTTAATTATTAATCTCTCCCGCTCCCCTTTCTTCTATATTTTATAAACGTTTGCTTAGTTTATCCAGGCATACAGTCCAAATATTTACTTATTTTATTTTATTTTAACTCATTCAAGTACTATCATATCCATTTTTTTTCGCGTACTTCTATTATATTTACCTGTCAACACACGAAAAAATGGGAAGCTGTGTTTCCTTGCAAAATAAAGAAGCTGGTAACTCGAGGAGTGTGAATCGGTTTCACGATGGCATCTCGGGGAAAGCTACCACGAATACACAACAGGGGACTCGACCGGTCTATACGAGAGTCGTGAAACGGCCAAAAAAGAAAGTGCATAAAGGGTTGATTGGGTTGCCGTCAAATTTTCAAGTATGTCTTTTCGTCCCATCAAAGATGAAATGTCAATGAGATGTATTAATGTGGTTCGAGGAAAGCAGATGCGTCGATAACAGGAATATCGATTTAACCAAATTTGATTTTATTTATTTATTAGCATACAGGCCACATCGGGATAACGGAAATGCGAAGTGGCAAAGTTGACGTGGGTTTTTTTCTAATTAATTCATTAATTAATCGATCGATTAATTAATTAATTAATTAATTAATATTTATGGATCTTCGATTATTACAGCCTGAAAAAATCAGAAGCCAAATGGCAGAAGTCGCTGCTGCACTACGTCTCGAAGTGAATAGATCAGTGACAGAAAGACCTGAATCCTCGAGTGAAATAAAAGCTCAAGATACACAGAGTAGTAGTAATACTTTAAATAGTAATAGTAGTAATAATAGTTCGGAAATAACAGCAAAAAGTGGTCCTGCTGCTGATCATAGATTTAAAGTAAAGGTTAATATTATTGTAGATAATAAATCATCTGTTTACCATTTGTTTTTAACCACTCACACGTCATCAATATCTTTTTCACAAAAAACCATAATAATAGAGAAAACCTACTCTCACCTCAGTATCTCATCCACCGAATACAACACAACTACCATCACTGCCGTCCTCAGATTCATATCCATCACAAGATTCAATACCGACAACCCAACAAAAACTAGATCCAATGGCAGAAATAGTTGCCGCGTTAAAGATGCCGTCCGATACGAATTTTGGCCTGGAGCCAACAAATGAGACGTCCATTACTGTCGTGTAATTATTTTTTGGGTGTGATAGAATCAGTTCTCTAATTTGTGGTAAGTTTTTGTAATCAATTCTTTGATTTCTCTTTAATTGAAATAATCTACTTTATTTCTAATGGATTTATTTTTTTATTTCGAACGGCAGAAATTGTGATTGAGCGGAGGTTTATTAGATTTCTTGATTAATTATGCATTCTTTTGTTATTATTGAAAATATATAAATATAGTTGACGAAAAAACAATTTTTGTAAAATAATTTTTCTTTACCATTGATCATTTTTTGCTCACAAATTCTTTTTGTAGCTCTCTATTAATCTCTTTTTTCGGTTACAAACAAACAAAAACATTGTTTTTATTATTTTATTAATTGTTATAATTTTTGGCAGAGTTCAATAGCAATAACTATGGTATTTGATAACAAAACTAATTAAAAATAAAAGAATGCATTGATAATTAATTAAATAATTCCTAAAATTATCATAAATCACGAGATTGCAGTACACTCTTCACCACCTCCTAACTATCCAACCCAAATTATCTAAATTATCCAAATACTCACAAAAACCAAATCTTCAACATGGAGCCAATTCTACGGGAAAACGAAATAGTAGCAAACACGCAGGCTGCACTTGCCATCAACTCTGTTGAAAACATCGACAAGATTATAAATGCGTTAAACGAATCAGTAGAACATATTTCAACAAGTATATATTTCTTTGAGTTCTTAACAATCGTAACTGAACACTGGCGTTATCACTTTATTTTACTCAAATTTTTCGAATAGTTGATAATTGATTCTTTCTATTCCATACAACTTTCTTTTCGTCCTCATTAATGAAATAAAAGGCCCAGAAAACACTTCTGAAGCACTTTCTTCGCTTTCCAGGCAAATCAAAGAAATCTCGACACAGACAATCGAGGAACATAAAGAGTATCAGGCGGTTTTGTCTAGATACGGAAAAGCTATTGATAAGGTGCTTGCTTTTTCATGGGATCTTTCATGTTTTGATGTCCGTCTTTTCTGATGTCGCAATTCTGACGATTAATATTGTTAGAAATGGAAGCATGATGTCACACTCGCAAGTAATCCCAATGCCTTTGAAGGAAAAGATAAGATCCTACAAATGACCGTCGCGTTGCATTTTATATGTCAAGGAAAATTCGAGCTGGGAAAAACTTTTATGCGGGTATCGTATTAGACATATTACAAGATTTTGATTTTGTGCAATTTACCACGATTATCATATTAAACATGATTTCCTTAAATGTAGGAGGCAGGCCTTGAAATATCTACGGAACTACAATCACAGTTCGTGAAAATGTATGAAATTCTCAAGGCGATCCGAGAATATAATCTTGAACCTGCACTAATGTAAGGACCTGACGTTCATTTATTTTATTTTGTTAGTAATAGAGGTCAATTGTTTATTCATTGCTGAGCAAAGTTATATGCTTTCCATTTTTTGTTCTTATTGAATTTATCAGATGGGCACGATCAGAACGAGAAAAACTTGAAAAACGCGGCAGTTCCTTAGAATTCCAACTACATCGTCTTCACTTCATCCAGTATCTAAGGAATCAAAGTCGTTACGAAGCATTACATTACGCACAATTGAATTTTCAATATTTCCAAACACAGCATTTTCGAGGTATGTAGAAAATACGCGCATCTTTGCACGAACACCAAGAATATTTTCGAATTAATTATGTGCTGTGTAATCGACAGAAATACAACGCCTAATGTGCTCATTGGTATATATTAATCGCCTTGAATCCTCTCCTTACGCTGATTTGCTGTCTACTGAAGGCTGGACGAATATACAGAATACGTTTGCGACAGATTTTTGTAGTTTGTTGGGATTGTCAAGAGAGAGTCCACTGTTTATAAGGTAAACAATAAGAATCCATCATGCTTTAAATTATATGTTTTGTTGGCGAGATCCAATCTCACAGATGATCTATCCATGATATGTTTAAAGCGTGACAGTAGGCGCAACAGCACTACCGTGGCTTATCAAGATGGCAACTATAATGAAAGAGAAGAAAAACGAATGGAGTCAACAAAACGAGTTACCGGTAACTAACTACAAATATTGCTACGATTTGTTGTTATTGATCATTCACTTCTTTCTGCATGTTTTCCGTTAGGTTGAAGTCCCATTGACCGATGATATGCGATATCACTCGATATTCGCGTGCCCGGTGTCAAAAGAACAAGCAACAGAAGATAACCCACCGATGATGATGCCGTGTGGACACGTGATTTGTAAAGATAGTCTGAACAAATTAAGTAAAGGACAGAGGTAAAATTTACACGAAGCTTTTTTTGTATAAATAATAAATCGGAATTTATATTAATCCGGTTTTATCTAAATTTAATAGTAGTCGCTTCAAGTGCCCGTATTGCCCGAACGAATCAATACCGACTCAAGCAATGCGTGTACATTTCTAAAACTTGTATTGTATTACCATCTTTAGTTGTCATCAGGATTATCGAAAATAATAGTCGGAACTAAAAAAAGTTAAATCATCGACATATCAAGTTAACTGTCCAAAGTGATGATACTTTTTTTGGTAAACCTACAAAATGCCGGCATGGATGTAAGCTTCCCGGATGGATAATAGGTTGTCACTTTTGCTAGTTCTCGTATCAGCCAAATACTATTTCAATTACGAGCTCGGAATTTACTTGCCAAAATGCATGCGTTTTTTATAAGGTAAAATATATAATACTTGATCTAAATAATACGTAAATCCAAATTCTTTCGAGACAAAAAAAATACAATGATTTCAAAAACTGTAACAAGCAAATTAACACTTAAAGACATAAAACACATGATATTATAAGGTTATACAATAGCACTATCAAAATTTCTCTAATATATCTATATACATGTATAGCGATGGTGTTAGTGTATTGGATAGAATAACCTCAAAGTGTGTCCCCGATCACGTTGTAACCAGAATTGACTGTATGATCACCCTCCGTTTCTTTCAACAAATGAGAGGATACGTTTTAAGGTCACGCCACTAACTGCCTTGATAATTATTGATAATGATATACAAACAACCCAGTTCTCGCAGTTTTGTGCATGCAGATTAATTATATAGTGAGCACTGAATACAATAACGTGATCGGGGGAAGAGATATCGAGATGTTACTCTATCGAAAAAATAAATACCATGAAAAGCTTATTACAGTAATGAGATCGGGGGATGAAATTTTGTGTTATTATAACGATATTATCTTAAGGAGTGTTACTGTAACGAGTGCTCACTGTACATGGTTTGACTCGATTAATTATAATAATGTATCATATGTATTTTATAACATGTATAAACTTCTTTATTAAGAAGTAAATACAAAATTTAATCCGTGAATATGATATAGTCCCTTTCTGAGTATATTCACGGGTCGCCCTGGTGGATTCAACTAATTTAAATGTTTGGTATAGTCGCTTTATTAGATACTATAGAAACGCCATTCTTTTCACAAATAATATTATCTTCTCCCTTCAGATCACAGTATTCTGTCTTTCACCAACAGAATGCTGTACAGGCAAAATCTATAAAATAAAATACAAACAAACCCTTCTAAATGCACCCCTCTTGTGATCATAGTAAAGTGTGCATTTAGAAAAGGTGTGCTTTTATAGAGAGCAAAATATAGAGCTCTTATAAGCCATGTTGTGCATTTAGAGAGAATGTGCACTTATAAAAAGTGTATTTAAAAGAGTTTGTCTGTAATTAGCTTTTTGTGTAATTAGATGAACTAATAATTTTATAGTGTTATCATTGTTATGATCCAAATATTTTATAACATAATACTTTTATTATACTTAATATTTTTATTTATTTATTATTTAATTATTTAATTTATTATATTCTTATTGAACAAATTTGAAATTATGTGACTTTTATATATAACATGATTTTTATTATTTATTATTATAATTTAAGTAATTTCATAATTTCATAATTTCATATAATTTTTACATAATTTATATCATAACTAAAGATGATGTCTCAATTAATTGTGACTTGCAATAAGAGGAGTGACATATATGACATAATTATTAGGGAGAGAGAAGAGAAAATCTGAATTATCTCATCTTTCACGTGATATCAAAAGTCATGTGTTTATTATTTAGTATTAATCAATCAAAATACAAAAATAAATCATAAATCTAGCTAACAATGAGTAATATTTTATAAAAAACTCTATTATAATATCTAACAACAAGTAAAATTCTATTATAACATTTCTAATATATTACTCACCTTCTAATTGTACTTTTTGATTATATAAGCATACTTGTTCTGTTGATGTTAATGCAACTGAAAAATTATTAATAGAATTGGAAAGTTGCTTTTTTTGTTTTGCTGATCATTTTCGTTATCTTGAATATTGATTTTTCTTATGTAGAGTAATCAAAGAAAGAGTTATAAAGTATGAATTACAAATAGAACAACAGAAATAAATATAAGTATTCAGATTAATAGAAGGATAGTGGATATCATATTCAGATATTTTAAGTCTGTCATAATATAAAGTGAATTTAGATAATGCTCATCTTTTCCTTTCATTACAGGTGGTAAAAATCCATTATTTTCTGTGAGAAGAATAGTCATCTCTTCATAATATTTAGATTGGTAACAAGAAGTTGTTTCACATTTTTTAATGTTAAGAGAGTATTGATATATTCTTGTATAATTTTCTAGTCATTGTCAAGATATAGTAAATTTTTTTATTATTATTAGATCTGAAAAACTTAATATTATCAAAGGGATAACTTTTTTGATTAATATATTGAATTATAATAAATTTTCTGAAGATAAAATCTCATTTTCAAAAAATACACAAAGCATTACCAGCGTTGTCACAATCATATATTTCAGGCTCTTCTTGGTGTTATTATTAATTGTGACTTCAATCAATCATCTGTTTGTGTTTAATTATCAATTTCGTTTGTTTACTATTAAAATCCAGTTGCGCAATAAATGCATCTTCTCCTATCATCAAGATAGGATATCACTACTACTAATAAATATCTTCCTTTGTATTTACTTAGTGTGTGAATGGTGTTACGATTAAAAATTCCTATAATTTCCATAATTTTCATAATTTTCATAATTATCATAATTTTTATAATTACCATAATTTTCATAATTATCATAATTTATAATCTTTATAAACTTTAAAAACATCATAAACTTTATATTCTTTATAATTTTTATATATAAATCAATTAGACGAATTTTTATTATCTTAATTTTTATAATT